CTTATAAGCTCAGGGCTCTCTCCCGGGACAGCACGCCAAACTAGCTTTACTATCAATCATCAGCTAAGTGTGAACTCTTGAAATAAAGGAATAAGCTGAGGAGCAGCGCGGGGGGGGGGGGGGGGGGGCGAGGGTAGGTGAAGGAAAGGTGAAAGAAGCAGCGCATTTCTAACATTCTCCACATTTCAGCCAGCGAAGATGAGAGATGAGGCTCTGTGTTAACAATGTAAAGTCACTGATGCACAAAAGCGTGTGTGTGTGTGTCATATGGGATGTTGGAATAAATAGAAAGTGAAAGCAAAGAGAAAGAGACATTGTTATACATACACAGTGCAGCTGTTTGCATATTAAGACAATACATTTTCCTAAATTTTCAACACAATGTTTCCCTATTCCCTGAGGGGTGGCATAGTGGTTAGGACTGCCACCTCATGGCAAGAAGGTCACTGGTTCGAGTCCGGGCTGTGCCAGTTGGCAATTCTGTGTGGAGTTTGCATGTTCTCCTCGTGTTGGCGTGGGTTTCCTTCGGGTGCTCCGGTTTCGCCCACAGTCCAAACACATTGTCACATCTGTCAGTGACCACCTGAGGGCGCTGTAGCGCATCAGGACTCAGAAGGCACTACAGCGTCCCAGAAAGACTACAATTCCATCCACACCACGCGCATACACCGGAACACATACACTGATCTGTCATCACATCTGTTCTGTCACTGTTGATTATCTGGACTATATATTCCATCTTTCCACCGTTGTTTGTTATCGCGTCGTTTGTCTTCCTTGTCTTTCTTGTTCCCAGTAAGTCTGATATTCCGAGTTGTTGTTCCTGACCTTGTTCTAGTATCCTGTTAAAGTCTAATTCGTGTTTTTCTGTCATAGTTTCTTGTTTTGCTGTTTATTTGTTACTTTGCACTTTGGTATTTTGGATGTTAGTTCACTGTCGCTGCACTATTTATTATTAAAATCTGCACTTGGATCCGCTATCTTTTGTTCCCGTTTTTCTGTTTTGATCACGCATCACGTGACAGAAGGACGCGATCACACAATGGATCCAGCAGATGATAGAATAATGCTTCTAAAACAAGGTCAGGAACAACAACTCGGAATATCAGACTTACTGGGAACAAGAAAGACAAGGAAGACAAACAACGGTGGAATGATGGAATATATAGTCCAGATAATCAACGGTAACACAGAACAGATGTGATGACAGATCAGTGTATGTGTTCCGGTGTATGCGCGTGGTGTGTATGGAATTGTAGTCTTTCTGGGACGCTGTAGTGCCTTCTGAGTCCTGATGCACTACAGCGCCCTCAGGTGGTCACTGACAGATGTGACACACATGCCAAAGGAAAATGAATTAATGAATAACATGAATAATTATCACTAAGCATATTTGGTTTCAGTTTTCAGTCAAAGTTTTTATAATATCTTATCATGAGTGAGACACGGCAAAATGTAACAAGAACGCAATGATCAGACATATCAGTCAGGAACATGTTTACATAAAAAAATGTATGCAAAACAGCATTCAACAGAACTACTGCTGTATACTTGATATTTCAAGCGTGCATGATGGTGACTGGCTGACAAGTCCTGACAAGGCCCAATTCTAATTCTACCCCTTAGCCCTTACCCTTCATTTTGCGCCTTCACGTGAAGAAGTAGGGGTGGCCCAGTTCTCTTTAGATTGAAGGCGTAGGGCTAAGGGGAAGGGCTAGATAGCCCTTAAAACAGATTTTTCAGAACCACACTTGAAACCAAGGGGTAAAAAAATTTCCCACAATACACCAGCCACAACGGCAGGATAACTGAACCCGGAAGTCAGGAGATCAACAAATTAGTATTTTTTGCCATTATTACTAATTTTTATGACAAACAAGCACATGTTTTAATATTCATAATGTTTTACCGTCATCAAACGCTAAAATAAAATCCGCTAAATTTGTCTATCTATATAATATCATTTTTGTAGGGAAATGTAAAGTCGTAAGAAAGATCATTATGGCAATACTCAACAACAACATTGCATATTTTTCCAGTATCGTGCAGCCCTATTCTAATGTATTTCTTTATAATATTTGCATATTACATGAGCATATTGCATTAAATTATCTTCTAATTAAGCTATATTCCTATTTGAACATCAATCAAAACATTTCCTGTTAAGACATTAAATTCATTACATCATTTTCCACTTTACTGTATGCTGATGTGTGCAAATTGGAAAGCCAAACTATCTGGGAAGAAATTGCATAAAATCTCCTCTTCCCACTCGCGCTGAATCCTTGAACTTTAGAAAAGGCCAAAACAATCTCCAGCTCATCGTCTACAGATTTATCTGTCCTCATTCCACATTAAGCCATAAAGTTCAGCCCAGTTCCACCTAGAGATTTACAGCTGCTGATACAGTATTCACTAGGGCTGGACAAACTGAGCATCGATATCACAATGTGTAAATCCGCAATAGTAAAACTGCAGGATTAGATTATTCATTCATTCATTCATTAGTCCCCTACATATCAGAGGTTGCCACAGCGGAATGAACCACCAACTATTCCAGCATATGTTTTACAAAGCGGATGCCCTTTCAGTCGCAACCCAGTACTGGGAAACCACTCTTACATTCTCTAAAACACACAATCACACACATACACACACACACACACACACACACACACACACACACACACACACACACACACACACACACACACACACACACACACACACACACACACACAGACTACAGCCAATTTAGTTTATTCAATTCACCCGTAGCGCACGTCTTTGAAAACTGGAGCACCCGGAGGAAACCCATGCCAACACGGGGAGAACAAGCAAACACCAAACAGAAATGCCAACTGGCCTAGCCGAAACTCAAACCAGCAACCTTCTTGCTGCAAGGCCACAGTGATAACCACTGAGCCACCATGCCACCATAGATTATTTATTAAAGCCTAAATATATACATAGTTTAATTTCAGTCTATCTGCAGGTTTCTAAGAGTTATATTTAAGAAATTTTTTTAACACCTAACAATAAAATTTACGACCGATTGTACAGTATAATCATTTTATAGTATAGAAATTTACAAAAAAAAAAAGCACACAGCAAAACTAATTAATTACCATCCTTAACACCAGTGTTGGGAAAAGTTACTGAGTTACTCCCCTAAAGAGGAACTGCATTACTTAGTTACTTTTTATGGTAAGTAATGCATTACTTTACTTTTGACTTACTTTGCGTTACGTTTTATTACCTGGCTGAGGCTTGATCTCTTTCAGAAGTAGTTTTTTTTTTTTTTTAATAGAGGAGCTCTGCAATTACCAACACACTGTATAAGCCACACCTACAATTACCTTTAAAAAAACAAATTAAAAATATGTATATTAGGATAATGTTATCAGAGAACTTCCTGACCCCAGAGCTCTACATGCCGTATATACAGATTATTAAATGTAAAGCAATGCGTTCGCTATGTTTGCGTTCAAAATAATGAACAGATTCTATCATTGACTGCGTGATTCATTGTGTCTACTTTAATTTGAATTCAACAATCTATTTTTAAAAAGCTCATTAATTGAACTAAAAAGTAACTTGTGTTACATTTTTAAAAAAGTCACTCAAGTATTATTACTTATATTTTTTAGAGTAATGCGCCACTTTACTCCTTAATTAAAAAAGTAATATTACTTTATAACTTGCCTTACTTGTAATGCGTTCCCCTCAACACCAATTAACACTCTTAATTACATAGAAAGAATCAACTAATCCTGAAAACAATCTTTAAACTGACTAATAATAACCTCCATTTCAAAACTGAAACAAAATCTTCTTTATGGAGTTGGTTCGATTACATTTTTAAGACCTTTGAAACAAATTTTAGACTAATTAAGGTCTTATTTTTACACTTTGGAATTTTCAATGACCCACGAACACCCTGATACAATAATGACCATATTGTTTTACAGTTGATTGTTTAGGGCTGGGCGATATTGCAAAAAACATCTCACGATATCAAGCTTCATATTATTCGATATCAACAATCATTGAATATTGTTTTAACAACACATTTAGGAATATTAGGATTATTTTTATTTAACCACTTTATTTTTAATTTACCAACATTACTAAGGCAAAAAATTTTATAGCACAGGTATTTAAGCAAGTTAACGAGAGCGAGAGAGCGCAATGTCCGCCACGTAACCAATATAAACTAATATAAAACTAGTGCATAGCTACATCACATGCATAAATCCCGCCATGGACATTACATTAAGATGCCTAAAGGTTTAAAAAGCCTATATATCAAAAGAAGATGTACAAATGAGAACCTTTCTGTTATCAACTATAGTAAGACAGCTTGTCAAAAGCTGCAAACAGATTACATACAGGAATAGAGAAAAGAGTGCTCTTTAATTATCAGCTGCTAGTCAGCACCCGCTCTGTTTTTTCCAGTTCATTGCACCTTTGTGGTGTGCTGTGTAAATGCAGAGGATCGGATACGAGTCACATTTAAAAGATGATGTGAGCAGCTCATTAAAAAAAAAAATCGAATACAGTCACAAAATCAGAGTTGACTATCAAGATCTGCAGTGTAAATGCAGCCTAAGTGATGTTTAAAGGCTTAACTAGGTTAATTAGGCAAGTCATTATATAACGATGATTTGTTCTGTCAAAAATCCAAAACAAATATTGCTTAACGGGGCAAATATTAATAACCTAAAATGGGTTTAAAAAAATTAAAAACTTTTTTTATTCTAGCCTAAATAAAACAAATAAGACTTTCTCCAGAAGAAAAAAATATTATAGGAGATACTGTGAACAATTCCTTTAAAAAATAAAAAGAAATTAAAAAAAAAAAAAAAAAAAAAAAAATCGCAGGAAAGTGATAATAAAATAAATATAATTCTGACTTCAACTCTATATCTCAGCTAAATATATCACAATGTCCGACTTTTCCAAAATCCCGCAGCTCTAGCATTCACACATCTACTCACCTGCAGGCTGAAGCTGCTTTGAGGATTGTGTGGTGGCTCTGTTCTGTGGCCGAGGCTCTCTAAAGCTCCTGAGAATGAAGACGGGGGAATGTAAACACACACACAGGCGTATATAGAGGGATTTTTCCAGCCTTTCAGATGGAATCTCACCTCGTATCTCCTCATCTCTCAGTCGGCGAATGGCTGCACGAAGGAGTTTTCTCTCCTCGTACTCAGTGGCGCTGCGCAACTTGAAAGACAGAAGGAAAAACAGAGGGCAAGACACAAAAACAGTAGTTAGGCTGACGGGACTGATGTTTAGGCCCACACAGAATGTGCACCCACTGAATTCCACTGTGGAAAAAAAATGCTGGTTTATTTCCACAGAATGCAAACTATTCAACGCAACTGCGATCAGAGTACCTCCTCAATATAATAGTTTATTTTTTTTATATGAAGTGTTGTACTGCCATATTGATATTATTTCTGCATATTTGTATTACTACAACCAGGGGCGCAACTGCACATTTACTGATGGGTATGCGGCTTCAACTTTTGCGCGCCCCCCTTCAATCCAACTATGTTTTATAACAGGCAAGGGATAAAATGTGGAAAATATTTCCATCAATAAATTAAAGATATTTTTTCATAAAGATATCAATATGCTTAAAAAAAACAGTTTCGCAGTTCTGAACACAACTGAAATAGTTTGAAGTATAGTAAAAGGTATAATTACATTAAGCATGTTAAGTTACAAAGAAATGCATCTCATACCACCCCAAATTTCTTCTTAATTTAATTTTCACTTACTAAATGATTATAGCACCTTGACTAGCCTTGCTTTTGGACTTTTTGTAGTACATTTGCCAAAACAAAATGATAGACATGGGAGTCCTAAATGGCAAAAGAACATTGCGATTACTTCTCACATGCATACTGTGAGAAGTGTAAGGTCTGTCTTTGCAAAAACAATTGACTGAAACTGCTAAAAGTGAAATAAAAAAGACTGTCAAATGTTTAGTGTAAAAAAAACAGAAACAAACAGTGTGAAATGTTCTATTTAATTGAAATGTTATAACTTTGTTTGTAGCTAAAATTAAAATAGTTTTGAGCTAAGAAGTTACCAAAAGGCCTGATGAATCAATATGATACATAATAAATTCATAATAACATGTGGTATAAAAATGGGGGGAGGGGTGAAATGATTTTTTAATTTAATAAAATACAATATTATACGCGTATAAAATGCTAAATACATTTGTTTAACAAAAAATATATACATTATTTGAAACTTTTAATATGGATAATTTCAAAAATAGTTTTGGCACAATGGCGCCCCCCATGTGTGGCGCCCCTATGCACTGCATATACTGCATACCCCCTTTTTGCGCCACTGACTACAACAGAAAATGAAGAGAATTAGAAAATAATTTGGTATCTATTAACAAATAAAGCTGTTTCTTTCTGGAAAAACCTGCAACTGTGTAACAAACAAAAGATTTGTGTTTGGTGTTACTTCTTTATTTTCGTTCCTTCAAATAAAGCCACACTGTAAAACATGGGAATCGAGGAAGTTTCGATGTGACATGCACCTCGCAACACGCAGAAAACTCCACAGTCTAAACCGACTAGTTCAGAAGCGAGCACCACCTGCTGTAAGTTGTCTACGTATATTTTGTTAGAAGAGTAGTATTAGATATAGCGTGCAAATGCAGTACAGGTGAGTTGGGTAGGCTAAATTGTCCGTAGTGTATGTGTGTGTGTGTGTGTGTGTGTGTGTGAATGTTTCCCAGAGATGGGTTGCTGCTGGAAGGGCATCCGCTGCTTAAAAACTTGCTGAATTAGTTGGCGGTTCATTCCGCTGTGGCGACCCCGGATTAATAAAGGGACTAAGCTGACAAGAAATGTATTTGGCACCACTTAAAATTCTCTTTTCCCTTTTAATCACATACACTAATTGATTGATTTATTTTTCTTTTGTTTTAGTTTAGTTTAGTTTATTTGTTTACAGGGTCAATGCACATTAATAAACATTACTGTAGAATGTGCCAGAATTAGCCAAGAATGGCTATTTTTCATCCGTAGACCCCTTACAGAATGTTAAAAAGTCAAACCTAAAATAGAAGCACAACATTAAACAATAAATACACTTTCATATAAAAAAATACAGTTAAAAAAGTAAAGAAAAAAGAAAAAGAAACAAGAACAGACTGATGGCAGCAGAGGACAAAAAACCAAAGACAACAGTACAAATGTGTCAAGAATACAGTACTAATGCTGACAGTGTTGATTTGTCAATAACCAACTTTTAACATGAGATTGAAAAGAACGAAAAGTGCATGATCTTCTAATTGTTGGTGGGATGGAGATGTGAGATTACTACTTGTGCATAATATTTTTGCCGTTTGACGTTTCACTTTTGTAAATAAATTCACTTAGTTTTGCATTATCTGGTTGTTGTTTTGCTATTTTGCCACCACAAACTGAGTCGCATCAAACGTTACCCCTTTAACCACTAGAGATAAAACTTTAAAGTCGTAACACTGATAATAATAAGAATAATAATTAATAATAGGGTTTCTTCAGTTGAAAATCAGCATCACATGCATGGTTTTGGAAACAAATTGAATTGCAAATCGATCTGCAATCAAACGTACAGTATGATCAGAAATGCACATCTTTGTCATGTTTCCAATATAAACATTCTTAAATCTAGAAGTACATTACTTTAAAAAAAGCAGATATTTCTTTCTTCTTATCTGAACATAAGATAAGTCACAATATAGATGCTTATTTATAGTTAATGTCTGAGGTTATTGATCAACATTACATTTACAATTTGTATATTATTAATTTAATAGCATTATGAGCTGTGAGGATTCATTTTAGACATTTTAATATTTCAATAAAGATCTCTGAATGAGTGCCGGTTTCTAGCACATTTATATCTATTAGTTTGACTTGTCATTTCAGAGGTGACCACAATCTGAATTTGAAAATCAAATAAAATAAACCTACAAGCAGATAAAAACCTAATGCAATGCATTAACTTTAAATAAAATACATGTATTTTTTTTTACCTCATTGGCAGATATTTGTCTTATTTCATGCATTAAATCAATTAACCTCTTAAAGTCAAGTGCTATATGGGGGTTTTCAGCTGGATTTTGCCTACCCAAATTCAACAGCTTCCCAAATCCACATGCAGAGCTGTAAATGCACAAGTTTGGTATCATTTTGAAGAAAACCCTTTTAATTTTCAAATAACACTGTTGAAAGTTATTTAAAAAACTGTTTATGTTGTCTGTGTTATAATAAACCTCTCCAAAAGAGGCACTTTTTTATGGTAAACTCAAATTTGAAAGAGAATCTATCAGGTTCTGTGTGGTCTACGGGAGCTGTAATTAATTTTGGTAGCTTCTGCACATGTCTGCAATCATAGGAAAAAAGACAAATGACTCTATCATAATCAATGCAAAAGTTATTCCATTCTCCCATCAGTTGGAATAGAATAACTTATGGGGTTATTGGGCCAGTGCAGACCTTTAAAATTTAAAAAAATGTGCAAGTAAATGAAGTCACGGACCCGATATAGTGTACGCAGTTAATCACACAGCTATAAACTGAAAACCAAAGTTATAATACTGAGAATCTAGCTTTGCATCACAAGAATAAAAGACATTTTACACAAGTAAAAAATGGTTATTAAAAATTACAATAATTTTTCACAATTATTTAATCAAATAATTGTAACTTTAGAGCATGTAAGGAACTTTTAAAACATTTTAACCACCCAAAACTTTTAAATATACTATATACTTTTTCAACATACTGAATACACTTTCTGAAAGTATATTTATTATATTGATATTTAACAGGATTAATCATGTTTTTGGGTGAGGAACCATATTAATAACTTAATTGATTACTATATATTTTGTTAAAATCAAATATCTTTTAATAACTCCCAGCTATTTTTTTTTCATTTAATGAGTATTTCAAAGAGTGGCCTATAAAGTGTTAAGGTATATTACACATTTATTTACATTTCCACAAAAGCACTGCATTAACTAGTCAATCTGGAGGTGTCCTTTAACAGAATTAATAGGATTTATAATTTGGTCAATCACGATTCATTGAAGAACAATCCACCCCACAGCTTTATAAACACAGAACAATGGCACTTCATTGGGAATGAGCTCACTGGAGTCTTTTGTTACAAAAACAAAGAACTTTCACTGTAGAGAGTGTAGAAACAAAGAACAGTAGAGCGTTTTTTATGGTTAGGATGATATGACAACATTCAGTCCAGGGCAGAAACCCTTATCAAGCATCTCCAGAATGCTTTGAGCTCAATCTCACTCGGACGATGTTGACAGATACAACACAAAAACACTTTGTTTCTTACCAGTCCAGTGAGTTCCTCGATGTCACGTGTGGCCTGAATCTTCCTCGACAGCACGTCTAAAGAAGCCGTCGAGTCAGGACTGTGAATACGAATAAACAAGTTCAGATTCAACGCATAATGGTTTTTGCATATCAGATTAGGGAGAGGGATTTAAATATTTTCCTCCATACCAGCGCTGGTTTTCTTTATCCTCGTGTCTGTGCTGGTTAGCACGTCTGAAGCGTTTGCTAGTCAGCGCTGCCTCCATTTCTTCAATCTCACAGCGCCGCAGCTCCCGAATCGCTGTGCGGATCAGACGACGCTCATCTATGTTCACAGTCTTATCAAGCTGAAGAGACAGAAAGAGAGTAAAATAGGTATAAAGTAGGCAAAACAAACAGCTGAAGTCAGAAATATTAGCCCTCCTAAATTATTCACCACCCAGTTTATCCGGCTTTGAGTTTTTACAGCAAATGTTACACCTGTAAAGCTGGAAATGCTCAATATTTTATCAAAATTACTGAATTTCAAGTAGCTTTCTTTCTCTGATGACGAAAGTTTAATATTTTAGAGCAGTACGTGCTTAAATCAAAGCGATTCATTAGCTTCCAGTGAAAAAATGAAGAGAATAAACCCCAGTCCTCTATTCAACATTTCATTTTAGTTGGAAACACATCACAACACTGTTAAATTCGGTTGGAAATTCTGATTCCTGTAGGCTTTTTTTTTTTAAATAATTGTATTTTATTGGATTTTTCAAGAACCACAAAGAAACACACACATATATGCACACATACACAAACACACGCAACACTAGGCACTGTCTCGGACAAATCCCATACAATGAGTCAATGAACAAATAACAATTACAACACAGTTTAGCAACAGAAAATAGAATAAAGAAGTCAAATTAAATAATTAAGCATGTAAAATAAGCAAATTAAGTCTCTGAAGAATCCTCAGAGGTTGAGTGGCTGGTTTGCTCATCCAGATCAGGGCCGGCCCGTGGCATAGGCAGTATAGGCAAATGCTAAGGGCGCTGTACATCCAGGGGGGCGCCAGAAATAAGCGCGGTTAAGTTGGTTTTGTTCTTGATATTCCTGACACATTCAGTGATATACGGCAATAACTCAAAAACCTCTTACCCTAAAAAGATCTAAAGTGTGTTTCCTACAAAAAGACAAAGCTGGTTATGTTTCAGAGCTGTCTTTCTTTTTTTTTTTTTTTTTTCCGCTCGACATTTTGACCACTGCTCTGTTTAGCCGGGAGAGCTCACGTGGAGTGGAGCTCTCAGTAAGGGACCGTCGGAAAAGGGCTCATTTTTTTTTCGTTTTTTTTTTGCTCTGTCCTGCGTGTTTTATTTTAAACACAACTAATTTTCTCTTAAATGAGCTCAAACAGTTACTAAAGTAGTCGAATGCTTCATTCATTCATTTATATAGATCTGTGCATTCTTACATTAACATCTCTGTTATCAAACAAAACACAAAGAGATTCATTTGCTGCTTTTCACTAAATAAATATAGTAACTTTAATCAATATGCAAATACAATTAAAAGTGGAGTAGATTTTATAGCTTTATTTAATTTCTTTATAAGCCATTGTTTTTAATGGATTAAACCTTTTTTTATTGTGAATATTTTCTATTGTTTTGCTATGCATTCTATCATTTGAAGCTATTTGTTGTCCCATATTTTTTACATCCCAACGTTGACAGATATGGCATAACATTGCTAATCAATAGTGCTATCTGTTAGTTTTAACGTCAGCTAATGTTATGGAAGTGCACAGATGTTATGGAACATAGTAATAGTAATATAACTACCTCAATCATTACTTCCTCAAGTAAATGTGTAAATATTAGATATATTTAGCAATAACGTTAATTGCATTGGCATATTTATCTGACGTTTTTCCAGCTTGTAGTAGTCGATCCTAAAGCTATTTAGTTTCTTATGACTATACACTAGCAGTGGAATTTACTGCGATGTGACGGGGCGCCACCTGAAATCTTGCCTAGGGCGCCAAATTGGTTTGGGCCCAGCCTGATCCAGATAGTTTAGAAAAAAAAAACCAAACACTGAAAAACTTTTCAATAGAATGAGTCCTCTCAGTCTTTCAATCCAAATTTGAAATGTAGGGGGTGAAGATGACTTCCAATGCCGGAGCAAAAGCCTTTCAGCCACAAGCCTACCTAAAGACAAAGACTGCTGGAGGCCATGTGGAAGATGAGAAATGTGTTGTGAACATCCAAAAATAGCAAGTTCTGCATCAGGTGGTAAAGATTTGAGATAAGCTTTAGAGTACCAATCAAATATGTCTTACCAAAATGTATATAACAAAGGGCAGAACCAGAAAGCATGGGAAGTCGTGTCTTCTTTCACCTGTCACATAATGGTGATATGGAGGGAAAAATCTTATGCAACTTGGCTTTAGTATGATGTATTCCTGTAGGCTTTAAATAAACAAACACACCATCGACACGAAGGATTACACAGATCATACTTGTATGTGTCGAAGCCAACTAGATTCTACTCCCGAATTAAACCAAAAAGCTATATTTCACGGCATTATTTTCCCCGAGTCTGGTCTGAGAATGTTCTGGGAACTCTCATCTCTTTCAGCATCTGACTCATTATTCAACGTTTTGTAGTTGGAAGGAAAGGTGACGACAGCATGGAGAAACAAATGGAAAAAGCAGCATCTGGCAGCTCAGTGGCAGCAGCTCAACACTTTCTTTTAGATATTGCTAATGCATATGCACGGTAGAGCGTTCCCTTTCAAAGCAAATTCCCTGATTATTAATACAGATGGAGACTCAGAAGACGATCACTACACCAGGATGAGCATCTGGTATTAACAATCGTCTTGGGTGGTTTGATGGTGCCCAAGTGTACAGTTGCGACTACAGGTGTGATCATGGTCAAACGTTCTTGGAGATTCAATCACTCAAAAGTTATGCATTTGGTCCAAAGACTGATGAAATTTCTAAGTCCAGTGCAAATCGAAAGGAAATCAATATGATAAAATGTGTTGCTGTTATTGTGACATCACCACAAGGAAAAGACCGAGGTTATGAACACAGACAAACCCAAAATTAAGACACCAGACTGGATATTTTTGGTCACACTTTATTTTGAAGGTTCATTTCTTGCTATTATTAAACTATTAACAATGACTTATGCCTAAATAAACTGGTCATTTGCTGCTTATCAATAGTTATTAATGTAATAGTTGGGTTTAGGTATTAGTGTTGTCACGATACTGGAAGTCGATACTGTAATTTTATAAATGTTCATTTACCGCTAACATTTGAGCTCAACAGAAATGTCTGTGATTGGCCGTGAAGGTCATCAGTTCACCGGATTCACCGCTGTTTACGGAGTGAAACCACAGATACAGGGATACTGGAGCATTTTAAAGCCGCGAAGATCAACTGGTCTGTTTATGAGCTGACATATGAGTGATCCGCTGATGAATCAACTGATCTTTACGGTTATTAATGCTGAGCAAATTAACACGTTATTATCGTGTTAACGCATTCATTAATTACATCATGCCACCTTTCCTACAAACCACCAGTTCCGCCACCCATTAACTGGGCGCCCTTAAGCCACACTGGTATGGTCCAGATGAGGCAAGATTCGTTTTGTTGTCTCTCCTTCCATCCCTACATTCTCCCCTCTGAACCAACAGGAAGCACCAGAGGACCAGGTCGACGCTTAGGCCCTGTTTACACTAATATGTTTCAGTTTTAAAAAAACATTTTAGAATGAAAACAATCCACACTCGCGTTTTATATAGGCTGCGTCCGAAACCGCATACTTCCATACTATATAGTACACTAAAATCAGTATGCGAGCCGAGTAGTGTCCGAATTCATAGAACTCAAAAATCAGTATGCGAGAAGTACCCGGATGACTTACTACTTCCGGCGAGATTCTGGAGTGCGCATCTCATGCACGCTGCGCTATTCCATGATGCCCCGCGAGCGAATTGATGAATGAGAGTGAAGCGACGCAAATGACGCAGGTAGGTCGCGTGACCATGACAAAATGGCGGATTTAGTATGTCCGAATTCCATTCATACTTTTCACATTCATACTGTATAGAACGTACTTTTCTAACAGCCGAGTAGTACGTTTACATTCAAATGCAGTACCTACTGAGTAGTAGGCGGTTTCGGACGCAGCCATAGTGTTTCTGGACAGCTCACCGTCCACACTATACCGCTGAAAACGCACATCACGTGACACACACACACTTGCATGCGCTGCAGCATATGCGCACGTCTGAGCTCCAGGCAGTCAGCGGGTGCTTTGAGCACACCTCCCCAGGTGAGAGCAGCGCAGGTCGGACAGTTCATCAAGGATCTTTTGCTGGATTTCATCTCACTATAGTTGTTAGACGTGATATTTAATTCATCTTGCCTCTATCTAAAAGTCTTTTGAATCTATTATTTGTTCTCAGGTAGCGTGTTTTGGCTAAGGGCAAAGATAAATTAACATATTAATTAATGCAACCGCGTACACTGATTCTGCATATTTGACTGACTGCTTGCCTTTGTTTCCTATATTGCATACACTTATTGGACAATATACTTTTATAATGGTTTTTAGAAAAATGTATTAAACAGCCCAATTATGAGTCAAACCTGTTAATAACTATTCATCCAGAAAAAAATTCTGCAGTTTCATCTACTTTGCAAAAAATGTCAGTGAGATTAATGGAAACGTTACATTTTTAATTAATCTTAATTAACAAAAGATGCAAAAGCAGAGAGAGAGAAAAAAAAGAGATGGGGAAGAGAGAGATTATAAATAAGATGTTTATAAAGTGTTGATCGTTAAATATATTGTTTATTATCGTTTATTAATATTATTATTATTGTGTTCTGTGCTCAAGTATTGTAAATATAGTGATTATTATCATTTATACTATCACTGTTTCATCCTAAAATGTTAAAAGTTAAATGTTTAGTTTGTTGTCATTTATAACTATTCTTTTTTACTACTATTAACTGTGTTTACTGTTTTATATATGCTGTATGTGCTCTTTTTAATGTAAACTTTATAAATGCTTTAGCAATAATGTCAATTAAATGTCATTTTTTAATTAAATCAAATTAAATTAAATTAAGAGAGAGAGAGAGAGAGAGAGAGAGAGAGAGAGAGAAAGAGAGAGAGAGAGAGAGAGAGAGAGAGAGAGAGAGAGAGAGAGAGAGAGAGAGAGAGAGAGAGAGAGAGATGTGAATCAGCAGTTCATTCCAGGCTCAGTATGCCCATATAAGGACACAGGCCTCGTAGCTCCGCCCCCCAGACTGTGATGGGGGCTGAATATGAGAGATGA